CCCGGGACTCCAACCCAGAACCCTCTGGTCCTGGTTCCCCCGGGACTAGAACCCAGAACCCTCTGGTCCTGTCTTAGGGTTGAGATTATTCTCTCACCTCCTGCTGCTCCAGCTCCTCCTTTATTTGCCTGATGGAGCTCTGGGGAAGCAGAGCGGCGTCGTAACCTTCGTCCAGCGGCTCCTCTTTGATGCTGGGGGCAGGAGGAGGAGGAGGGGGGGGGCTCTCCTCCACCGGGGCTCCCTCAGACCTCTGGGGAAGAAAATAAAATAAAATAAAGAGTCCTGGTTAGGATTAGGTAAGATTCATGGAGCCCCATAGACAGAAACACCTCACCTCTCCCGGTCGACTCTCCTCCGTTTCCTCCGTTTGGTTTTGGACGCCATCTTCTAAAGGCGGGTGGAGAGAAACAAAGGTTGTTATATTTATATATTTATTTATAGATAGGGACAAGTATGTTTCATGAATCATGTCACACACTATAACATTTTAGCTATAAGGCTAATTCTCAATGCTTGTCCCCAGTTAGGCTTTTACACAAAACACAGTGACTGTACACAACAGAACAAATCACATACTAAAACATCACAAATACAAGATAAGGACAGTTAGATTATTATTATCGATAGTGGTATCGCTAAAGACTCGGATCGATAAAGGTATCGATATCAATAAATATTAACTCATTGACTGCCAGAGAGTTCTGTTGTGACTTACACAAAGTGACAGGAGGTAGTTAAATAATAGATAAATTCACAAATCTATAAAGCAATCATTTTTTTATGTTTTTTTGGGGTCGTTTTGGGCATTTTGTGCATTTCTGGTATAACTTTGCATCGTTTTTGTGTCCTGTTCTAGTAAGTGTTTTGCCATTTTGGACTAATTAGGATTTCAAACCGAATTATCCATTTTCTCCCCAAATCTCATCAACTTTTAGGTGAGGAACAAAGCCAAAGAAGCCTTTTTTTTTAAAACTTTAGATCCTTAGAGAAGTTCTCCTTCCATGAACTTGAGGACAGTTTGGATCTCAACTCAACTCAACTTTATTTATAAAGCGCTTTCAGTCAGCCAAAGCTAAAATCAAAGCGCTGTATCATTTAAATCTGTCTGAACTTTCCTCTAAACCCTAACCCGGTTTACCTCTGCTCTCCTGGGGGGGGTTCTCCTCCTGGGAGGAGTGGGAGGTGTTGGCCGACTCCCCGCTCCCCTCCTTGCCTCGCTCTTCCTCCTTTTCCTCCTCTTCTTCCTCCTTTTCCTCCTCTTCCTCTTCTCCTCCTTGCTTACTAACGGAGGCCTTCTCCGGGGTCACGATGGTCCCCGGCTCAGTTTGGTCTCCTTTGGCTTTGGCCTTCCCCACGTCTGTGTCCTCCAGGGAACCCATCGGAAGCGCAAAGTGCCAGTCCTCTTCCTCCTCTTCTTCCTCCACCTTTTCCACCTCTTCCTCCACCTTTTCTACCTCTTCCTCATCCTCCACCTTTTCCTCCTCAGGTCCATAAACAGGAAGACCATCCACTGCATCATCAGACGCTGAACCCCCACTTCCTCCTTCCTCTCCATCCCTGGTTCCTACATTAATAACAGAGTCCTGTTTCTGGGATTCCCCCACTCTCTCCTCCCCCTTTTCCTCCATTTTGCTGCCATTACTGTCCTCCTCCATCACCCGGTTTTCTCCTTGTTCCGAAGTCTCCTCCGGGCCCTTTTCCTCGCTCTTAGAGGAAGAAACGGAGCCCCGGGAGGAATCGGCAAAGTCTCCCAGCCCCATCACTTCGTCAAAGACTCTGGACATGTGCTCCTCGTGCTGCCAAATTAAACAAGAAAAAAACGTTGTTTTTACAGGGTTATACAGAAGGAGACCTATTTAAAAACGGGGCAAATGGAAAACAAAATGCCTAATAATTGATAACCATAAAAACACCTTTACCACAAGCTTGTTTTCTCCACAATTAAGGTGATTTAACAGCTACTTCTGCAAAAAGAAACAGCAATAATTCCCTTTTATGACCTCTGATACAGCACAAACTTTTAGAAAAGGTTCCAAATAGTTGGCAGTCAAATCAAGTTCAAATATCTCAGAGCTCAGACAGTAATAAACCGTTTAATCGTCGGATTAACAGGAAAAAGTGAGCACAAAAACAACATTCTTCTTTTTGATTGGTGGGTATTTTGGGGAACAAATACATCCAAAACAAACCAGTTAGTCATTTCGATGAAGACTTCTTGAATAATTCAGGAATACTCAGATCTTGTGAGTTTGTGGATACATTCTTCTAAGGTTTCTCTCCATAAGTGAGCCGGTTCTTGCTGTTTTTTCACATGGAAGCATCAAATATGCAAAAGGAAAAAAGCTGTGAATGTTTAAACAACCAGATGAGATGTCTTCGACTCATTTTGGTCAAATAATGTAAAACTGCAAAACCAAAAGGGCAAATTATCAAACTCCAACCACACACACTTCCAATAAACAGGATGTAAATCAGGGATCCCAAACTCTGGACTCTGATTTAAAGAAAAAATAAGAAGACGAATTAAAGAATTACAAGTTGAGCATAAGACAAGAATCTAAAAACTGATAGGAATGAAAGTCTGACCTGTTCTTGCTTTCTAAAAAATAAAAGAAAATGCTGAAAAGATGGCCAGTCACCAGAGGTGTTTTTAATCCGCTATCCTTGATTTTACTTGCAGAAATTAGGCAGCTTTCCTGAATCAATTTGTTTAAACTCACTTCATATATTTTGTTTATCTGGAATGTCTTTCGTCTTACCAGTTTTCAGCCATTTCATGGATGTTTAAATGTCTATTTACGTTTAACCCCACCTTTAACACGGGAAGGACACGTGTATTTATCACAATAATGATGATCATGACGATTTGTATTCATATTTTCTTAAATAAAGTCCTACTTAATTCAACTGGACACGTGACGTTTCAGAAATGATTAAGTGCTTTGCAATAGGATCAAAACTATTACGACTTTCACGATTGTTTTGCAGCTCTTTGAAATCGCAAACACATCACATCTTTGTTTTCAACGACTTGCCTTAATGGCTTCAGGCCTCGTGCTGTCCATCCAAATGAGGAGAAAAGGCGTCCCACCAATCTCAATTTATAAATGCATCCAATTTTAACATCTGGCCTATTCAGTAGCACATGCAATACCCACACGCTCCAAAAGGCTGCCAATTAGAAGTGTGTGGTTTTTATCCTCATACGGCTACAATTAAAAGGTGACAACACCTCATTTCAACAAAAATAATCTATTTTTATTGCTCACAACAGCGATGCAAGGGGGTTGTAGGATTTACACTTGACTGCAACACAGGGTCATATAACTGGGTTCACAAGATCTTAAAACTAGTTAGTAAAAGGGACCCAGTTGTGACCATTGTCTTTATTCTGTTTACTTTAATTAGGCTAAGAGTAGCTGCATGCATCAGCGCTGCATAGCATGTAGCATGCTAGCTAGCTAATGTTAGCTTAAAGGAGCAAATAGCGACCGGAAGCTGGCTAACAATAACTGAATACCACCCCATTTAACTGGCCTGGTGAGCGCGTTTAAGGTGTCTCTAACAGCCTCTGTGGTTGCAGTCTTGATGAGAATTTCTCACCTTTAAACGTTTAAGTCTAAATTCTTCAGAATCCGCCATGTTTTAATTACACCGCAGACAGACAGCGCGCTTCCAAACGCCCACCTCCACTCGGAGGGTACAGGTCATGTAAACCCAAAACTGGAGCAAGAACCAGAGGCCATAAAGCCAGTAGCACACACTATAACACTCATATAGTAAACAGGCTTCTCTTTGTCTCTGTTTATACCAACATTTTCAAAAGATAGGCGAAGAAACGTACTTTAACTGGGACGTTCCTGGTGATTGGGACCGTAAGTCTCCGAATAGGTGCTCACCTTTCTTCCCCAGACACAGCAAGTTTGTAAAATGATAAGTAATTTATCTGTTTGGACGATTCTTTTACCAACTGAGTCTCTTGAAGTAAATGCATGAATGCAAAACTACTAATCCCTCAAAGAGAGATATACAGTGACTAACGTTCACTTCACGCTCTCAATCATGAGGAGAAATTAGGTCTTTATATTAGGATGAGTACGGTAATGGGGCGTAACAAGGACAGAATTCATGATGCATTCATTGAACAGTTGTAAACATTGTTTACAGTCATTTTCGGACATCTTTGTTGAAAAAAATGGACTGCTTTCTGTTTTTATTCAATGTTTTCTATTAACTGAAAACAAGTTGAGAGTCTTTTAACTGAAAAGCGAACCAAGATTAACCAAAAGATTTGTGCACATTGTTTTCAATTTAATTTCTGATTTTAGTGTGTTTAATCTGTTAACTTCTCTTATGAGACGTTAGTAAATTAGATTAGAGCAAGGAGTTTGGGTTAGTGAACATTGAGCGAGTTGTCAGCGAGTAAAACGGAACCCCCTGTAATGTTTATTTCCATTATTTCTTGTAAGAAATCAGAGCACTGAATTCCAGACCAGCTACAAATGCAACAC